CATTATAATAGCCAAAAAAGTAGAAATGGCCTCAATATCCACCAAGAAATGGCTGAATAGATAAACAAAATATGGATATTCATACAGTGGCGTATTGTGTAGCCATAAGAGAAATGAAATTCCCAAGCAAATAGGAAATGCATGAGCCTTGAAAAGTACATTATGCTACATGTAACAAATGAGACTCAAGGACAAACACTGAATGATTGATTAACACTTATGTGTAGAGAGAAACTCTTTAAATGGTTTCACAATCAATACTTTTGGCATCGGCAGTCAAGAAATCAAAAGACAAATTGCTCTGGGGAAGGCTGCTGTGAGGGACTTTTCAAAAGTGCTAAAGAACAGTGATGTTAGGCTGAAGACTAAGTATGCCTCATTCAGGCCATGGTGTTCGCATGGGCCATGACCAAAGATGACAGAAGAATTGATGCCTTTGAGTTGTGATGTTGAAGAAGAGTTATGAACTCTTGGACTGCCAAGAGAACAAGTAAGCTTATTCTAGGGAGGGTGAAACCAGGTGCTCCTTGGAAGCAAGGATTTTGAATCTTCATCTTACATACTTTGGGCATGTAACCAGGAAGGACCTGGAGAAGGACATCATGCTTGGAATGGTAGAGGGACAGTGCCAGGAGAAGAAGAGTCCTGATGAGATGGATTGACATAGTAACTGGCACAATGGAGGGTAAGTGTGTCGGAGACAGTGAGACTGGCTCAGGATAGAACAGAGTTCAGAGCTATTGTTGTTGGAGTCGCTGTGAGTTGCAGGTGACTTGATGGCACGTAACAACCACCACCAACAGGGTAAAGCAAATTACTGCTAAAGGGTCTAACATGGTAGCATCAGAACTTGTCTCTAGAGAATCACTATGCCAAAATGTACAGGGTTAATTTAAGCATGCCTCCACTCTTCTGTTTTTTTTTTATACTAGCTAGTCTTTCCACAGCACTGTATTTCTCTGCTGGGTTCAATAATTTGTTTCAGTAGCTACACAGAATTTACAAAACTATATTTAGGATTAAGTGGCTCACTAGAGAAGTAATGGGCAGGATCAGGTTTCAACTTGGAGTAACAGGACAAAGCTCAGGATACAGTTTGTCAGTCATGTCAGCTCTCGGCTACTTCTGCTGGGTTCCATTCAGTCTGAGCTCTGTGCTGTTTGATAGGTGTTCCAGCTCTTAGGCTTTACTAACAAGTGCCCAGAAGCCCCCTGTTCCCACAGCAAGCCTCCTGCCTGAAGACATTCACTCCCTCTCACTCCTTGTATCAACAAGCCCACAGCAGGTGCTGCACTTCATGGACCTAGAATGCTCCCACAGCCCTCCCATCTAGTCACTGCTACTATTGCTCCTGTGCCTGGCTCTTGTCCTCAGCCACCTTCAGTACGCTTTCTGTGCCTCTAGGAGGCTCCCTGTCTAAAGACTCCAAAGGACACATTTCCTCTACTCCAAGTTCTTCATAGCAGTGAGGCCCCTCAACCTCTATGGGATCAGCCCTCATACACCTAGCAGGATGGCAAAGTAGTCTGTCCCCATGAATGGTCACAGTACCCTCATGTGCTAGTAATCCATTTGTGAAGTTGTAGTGGGCATGGGGGCAACAGAGTCTGACTTGCTAACTAACTTTACAAGGGAAGGGAATCCTTATAACAGTATCAGCAGCACAAAACTGATTCCAGCAAGTTCAGACTCCACACTTTCACTCAATTCCAGCATGAGCTAGTCCTCCTGTGGTTTCACTGCAGTGATTTGTTGCAGTGGTCACACAGAACTCAACAGATGATACTCACAATTATGAAGTTTATTAAGGAAGAAACAGGTTAGGTTGGAAACACTCAGGATATAATTCTTCAATCAGGATAGCTGCTTTTCTGGTGTGTTTACAGCATTGATTTCTGCCTGGCTTGGACATGTGTTAAAACTCTTTCAATTTTGCCTATTGTATACCTCCCACCTCCTCTCTTGCAGTAAGCCTGGGCCTGAGGAAGCTCAGTGCTGGTCTGTGAGTCAATAAATGAAGATGGGCCCTGTCTGTATTCCTCTGCCATCACCTAGATGCCATCTGGTCTGCTGGCTCCCCAGTGCCACAGCCCTCAGTCTGTGGTTTGCCTAGAGATCTCAAGTCCAAGGACATGCTGCAAGTTCAGTCATAATCCTTATGATGGTAGATTGATCTCCATGTTCCACTTCCGTACCTACTGATTTCAGCCTAGTGGGATGGCAACATTGACTGACTTCCACATTAGCCTTTTGCAAATCTTATTTGGGGAGAGCTGTTCCAGACTAGACCATCCAAAGTTGCACTGCTAATATATGGTGGCTTGAGTCCTCCAGCAGTTCTGTGGAGAAAGGTGGACCTCCTCCTGTGGATTCTCAACCTTGGAAACCAACAGGAAGAGGGTCATCTACAGCAGTGAGGCCATGAGTTGTGGTGGGGGAAGGGGGGCTGGTTTGGGTTTGGTTTGGGATTTATTTTTTCAGGTCCCTCTCCCATATGATGATAGTTACAAAGCCAATGATAGAAAGCCCCTGCCCCTATTGATTAATCCATTACAGTCAACCAATTCCCACAGCGTTTTATAAACTTTGTTTGCGTAGGAATGTCTGATGCCTTTGCAATATTATAGCCTAGCAGAACTGCAAACCCAGGAGCAGACAGTCTGTAAAGAGGAGCTCATTGCACTGAAGAAGATTCTGTTTCAGATGATCAAAGTTTGGTTTTTTGTTTTGGATTTTTCAGAAATGGATAATGGGAATGATTTCACAGTTAATGGCACTGAATTTAACACCCAAGACTAGTTGAAACAGTGAAATTTTATGACATTGATTTTTTTTTTTTTGCAGTGGTGAAAGAAGCAGTATTTCTGAAGATTTAGGGGTTGACATAGCGAAGGAAGCTGATACATAATGATTTGCTTAGTAATATAAAATTAATAAAAATGAAAATTGGCTGAAAGTAAATTTTTAACTATTCCTCTCCTCACATTTATAAAACATGTATAAACCATTTATTTTCTTTTGTGAATGCTAAAATGGTGTGCGAAGACAAACTAAAACATTATAATAAAATGTGCCAAGAGCCGGAGCCAGAAAATCAAAAGGACCGAACTCGCTTGGCCTTTCTTAAACTGAAGAACAGATTCAAGCTTCGAGTTGCAGTACTTAAGCATGCTTTGAGAAGAATAGTAAATGATCCAGGAAGTGTTAAAAGGAGATGGAAGGAGTAGACAGAGTCACTGTACCAAAAAGAATTGGCTGACAAAAAAATTTTTAATGAAACAATGTATGAGTAAGAGCCTGTGGTGATAGAAGAAGTTCAGGCTCCTCTGAAGAAATTGGCAGAAAACAAGTCTCCAGTCATTGACAGCATACCAGTTGACATATTTCAAGAAACAGACGCTGCTGCCCTGTGTGCACTCACCAAGTTGTGCCAAGAAATCTGGAGGACACCCACCTGGCACCTGGCATACTGACTAGAAGTTTGTGCCCATTCCAGAGAAAGGTGACAGTGTGGAAATTATAGAACAATATCATTAATATAACATGTAAACAAGATTCTGCTGAAAATTATCCAAAAACGATGGATAGCACATCAACAGATGTGCAGGCTGTGTTTAAAAGAGGTCATGGTACTAGGGATATTATAGTTAATGTTAGATGGATCTTGGCTAAAAGCAAGGAGTGCCAGAGGAATGTCTATCTGGGCTACATTGACTATGCAAAGGCATTTGACTGTGTGGATCACAACCAGTTGTGGCTAACTCTGAGAAGAATGGGTATTCCAGAACACTTGATTGTGCTTATGTGAAACCCATACTTGGACCAGGAGGCAGTTGTCAGAGCAGCACAGGGAAACACTGCATGGTTCAAAATCGGGAAGGTTGTAAGCCAGGGATGTGTCCTATCTCAGTACTTTTTCAGTCTATTTGCAGAACAGATCATTTGGGAAGTTGGGCTCTATGAAGAGGAATTGGAGGATCAGGATTCATCAGGATTAGAGGAAGACTTATCAGCAACCTGTGTTATGCAGATGACACAGCCTTGCTTGCTGAAACTGTGGAGGACCTGAAACACTTGATACAAATGGTCAAGGACTGCAGCCTTAAATATGGATTGAAGCTTAACATCAAGAAGACAAAGATTCTCACCCTTGGGCCAATTGGCAGCATCATGATAAATGAAGAGATTGAGATTGTTAACGGCTTTACTTTGCTTGGCTCCACCATCAGCACTCTTGGTACCACCAACTAGGAAATTAAAAGATGAATTGCATTGTAAAAGTCTGTTTGTCAGGGACCTCTCCAAAGTACGGAAGAGCAACCATGTCAGTCTGGAGACTTAAGGTATGCCTGGCCAGGCCATAGTCTTCACAGTTAGGTGCTACGCATCAGAAAGCTGTTCAGTGACTAGGGGTGATAAGAGGAAAATTGATGCCTTTGAGTTGTGGTGCTGGAGAAACATATTGAATATACCATGGATTGCTAAGAGAACAAGCAGGTTTGTCCTGGAGAGGGTGAAACCAGGCTGTTCTTTGGAGACAATGATTCTGAAGCTCCGTCTGACATACTTTGGGCATGTTGCCAGGAGGGACTGGTCCTTGGAGAGGGACAGCACAAGAGAGGAAGACCCTTGATGAGATAGAGTGACTCAGTGACTGGGGTAATGAGGGTAGGTGTGTCAGATACAATAAGGTTATCTTAGGTAGAGCAGAGTTCAGAGCTGTTGTGCATAGGTCGCTGTGAGTTGCAAGTGACTCAACGGCCCATAACAACAACATGCACCGCATATATTATGAATAGCAAATACCAGACAGATTATTGGGTATAAAATCCAACATAGGCTGATATTCACATTAAAATCCTGAAACCAGAGAGACCATCTCAAGGGTACAGATATTATCTGTTGGATTTAGTGATACTAGTTTTTTGTTTTCCGTTTTTGTGGTACTAAGATAAAATAGGATTATTTTAAGACAGATGCTTATTTCTTTTGTTTTTTAGGTGTTGACTTTAAAATAAAAACTGTAGAGCTAAGAGGAAAGAAAATTAGATTACAGATCTGGTAAGTGGACAAGTTGTTTACCCCAAAGCATGTTGTATGTCTTTAACATCAATCCATGCGCTTGTCTAATAAAATTAACTCTTCAAGCTGGTTTGCCTCGTCTCCTTCTCTTCTGCTTATTTTAAAATAAAATGGTCATTGCTTCCTCTGAGAGAGAATTTTTAAGAGAATCCATTTATTTCACACTCAGTTTGCACATAGGGAGCTGTGGAAGAAGACTTGTCATTTGGTGGTAACAGCCTCTACTTCCAACCCTTTGATGTAACAGAACTGCTGTCACTGTAATGGCTGCTGGGATGCTGGTCAATAAAGGCAGCTTGTATGATAGAGAAGTCCAATACGCTCATGCCCAGATTGCCTGATATAAAGGCAGACTACCCACAGGAAAAGACTGAGGCTCTTCGTGGCCCTACCTAAGTGTTTCCTGGGGCAAGCCAGATCCTTCCAGCGTGTTATGATTCCCTCAGTTAATGTTTGCTGGAAAGTGAGACTGGGCCTCTTTCTGGAGCAAATCTACTTTCTCAAATCCTGGCCGTGAGCGAGTAATTGTTGTAGGTATACTGGCTTTCTGCCTGCTATAAGGAGTGGCTTTGAACACAGGACTGCACCTCCAGCGGTGCCTCGGGAAGGAGGAGATGGGGCTGGTGGTGGTGGAGAGAGGCCCTGCCAGGTTTTCTGAGAATGTGGTTTGGTTCCTCATGACATGCATTCAGCTTACTAACTCCTCTTGGCAGGTGGCTCAGCTCTGAGTGTCTGTCCACCATGTGTGTGTGTGCGCTTTCATCTGCGATGTTGCTGCTCATCTGTGACATCACCAGTCACCTAATGCGTGAGTGTTAGTGGCATGTCTTCATTCCTCATCTGTGCCCCTGTCTGAGGCACCTGCGGCCGAGCAGCCTGCTTGCTGAGGTAACAACTACCTTTGTTTGATCATCATCACACTCTCTACCTTCCCTTAAGGTTTTTGTTTGCTTGCTGTTATTGACCTGATTTGAATATTAAGTCTTACCTAAAATGATAATTTTATAAGAAACTAGAGATATTTCTTCTTATTTTATCACATGTTGGAAAAGGCAGCAAGCTGTGGTTTGCCATTTTTTTGTTTTGTTGATTGTTGTTTGAAGTCTGGAAATGGCTACTAAGTGTTTCACACAGAAGTTGCTTTTCATTGTAAACTCTTTAAAGACAGCATCTTCTCCAGAGACTGGCCTCTTCTGGTAACATATCTGACATGATAGAGGCTCACCATCTCACCTTTCAGGAGCACTCTGGCTGCATTTCTTCTAAGACAAAGTTGCTTGTCCTGGCAGTCCCTCATTCATTTGGTATTTCTCACCAACGCTATAACTCTGAAGCCTCAGCTCTTCAGCCTTCCTTATTTATTGCCCAACTAAGGCATATGTGGTCATTAAAAATACTGTGGTACCACAACTTGGGTCAGGTGCACCTTAGTCTTCAAAATGAAATCTTTGCTCTTTAATACTTTAAAAAAGTTCTTTGCAGCAGATTAACCCAGTGTGCTATGCCATTTGATTTCTTGACTCTTACTGTCATTTCTTTCCTCTTATACATGGGGAAACTGAGATTGCAAAGGATGATTTCTTCAGAGAATCATGTCAGGCAGCACATTGCACTAACCCTTACCTCTTCACAGCAAGCATACAAAGACAGCTCTTGGAGAGAGTTTATTGGCCTAGTGGCAAGAAGTTGTGCTGCCATCCCAAAGGCACACAGTTCTAATCTACCAGATGCTCCACTGGAGAAGGAGGGGCAATCTCCTCCTGTGCCAGTTGGATTTGATTCAATGGTACACAACAAGAAAGATAAAAAATATTCTTTTAAAAAACCAAAACAAATAGCTCTTAGCTACACCAAATGGGATGTGAAATTTAGCTTTTGAAGAAACTAGAGAGATAAAAACACATTTACTGATTATTATACCAGTTTATAAAAGGAAAATAGGAAAAACTGGTTTAAGTGTAATGTATTATGAGAAGAATAAAACCACTTGATAACCCACCACTTAATTCTTGTCCATCTTTACAATTCTTCCCTTTTTATCAGTTTCCTTAAGAATATAGGAGGACTTAGACCCTTCTAGAACTGAGATAGTCTTTTGGGGAACAAGATTATTCAGGTGTCCTTGTGTATTTATGAGTACTTCTTACCTTCTACTCAAAGTTTTATTCCAGAATATAAAAACATTCATGACAAAAGTTGTAGTATTTCAATTAGTTCTTAAGAGATGAATTAAGACATTTTTTTTAAAAATTACATTTGGTTTTTTTAAAGTACTGTTTCTGTTTTTGTTAGCTCGACTAACTCCAAAAGTCGCCCAGCTGTAGTCCTGCCTTTGTGCTGGGAGCGGTGCAGAGGTAGGCTCAGCTGAGGGTAAGAGTGACACTTCTTGCAGGGGGTCCATTCTTCTGGGAGGTCAGGGGCAGCTCTCGCAGAAGGGAACACTAGTGCATGTTCCCACCAAACAGCCCAGGGCTGCTTGCTGGAGCTTGGCTGCCTCAGAGAATGATCATGAAATGTTTTCTCCTTTCCTCATCTAAAGTAGTTATAGGTAAGCTCCCACTACCACACGTGCCCTGCATCTACCCTTAGCACTAGTGCCAGGGGCTGGTGGGACATGAGCCCTCTATTAATGTGGAGGTCAGACTTCTGGACCTGCCTGTGGGTGTGTGTACACTCGTGCTCCCATGTGTGTTCAGTTCATACTCTGTCATGTTGTTTTCAGATGCTTTAAGTGTTTGTAAATCACCTAGTGCATGATATTAAAGTACTCTATAATTAATATCTTCTTTCCCCTCTTGTTTTGTATTAAACTTGTTGTTATGTGCTGTTGAGTCAATTGCAGTTCATAGCAACCCTGTGCACAGTAGCTCTGAACCCTGTCCTATCCTGAGTCAATCTCAACTGCTTCCAGCACATCTACCTCCATTACCCCAGTTACTGCGTCAATACATCTCATCCAAGAGAACAAAAGAGGTCTGTACTAGAGAGGGTGAAACCAAGTTGCTCCTTGGAGACAAGATTTTGAAGCTCCGTCTCACACATTTTGGGCATGTTGCCAGGAAGGACCAGTCCTTGGAGAAGGACATCATGCTTGGAATGGTAGAAGGATTACATTTAGGAGCATATTTTCTGTTGTGTGATATCAACTGCTGTTGCTTTTTTAATGGAAGATGTTATTCTTGATACTTGGTTAATTTTAGTTCACAATCCATTATTCATGCACTGTCACCATTAGCCATGTTTCTCTTGTAGTTCTGTTGGCCTGAATTTGTACTTCTCTGTTTAACTGAACTTATCAGGGGAAGGAAAAAGTAAGACATATCTATCATATTCTTGTTCACTTATAGTAAAAAATCATTTTTGTCTTTGCATTGGAATGTTGAGCTCTGTACTTGAACTCATTCTGCTGCTGTTTGTTAGGGACACAGCAGGTCAGGAGAGATTCAACAGCATTACCTCAGCTTATTACAGAAGTGCCAAGGGAATCATCCTGGTGTATGACATCACCAAGAAAGAAACATTTGATGATTTGCCAAAATGGATGAAGATGATTGATAAGGTAGGTTTAGCATTTATTCCGTATTAAAACCTTCCATGTAGTTATGTATCCTGTATTTTAAATGAATCAGAGAAGAATTCATTTTATCTAAGGTCTCATGGCCTGGACTATCTGTCTTCAAAGGCTGAAGGTACTCATTCAGTTACATCCACTGGATCCACCCCTGTGTGAGTGGGTGAGTCATCAGAGTTCATCTGCTTTCCAGAGGTTGCCTCTTTGTAGGGTTGTCAGCAGGTGGGCCCAGGCCACCACTGGTCACTTGCCCTCAAAATTATCAATGTCTTTTTAGGTCACATTTTGAATAAAAGATGATGTTACTACTTGACTTAAAATTAAATGATTCTGAAAACCTGAATCTTTAGGAATATTGAAAATGATAGAATTCCTTCAGACACACATTGAAAAGGCAGAGCCCCTGTGAATGAGAGGGGTAAGGCACATTTGGACAGTTTCCTTCCCCTTTGATTTATGTTAAATAATTTAATGTTTAGCTCTTCAGCACAGCACACACACTTAGTATATCATAGATAGTATTTCATTTACAAACTGCTCTTTAACCATGTGTTAAAGTGATTAAGAAGGTTTATATTCTAGTTTTATCAAACATATGATCGCTATGTTTTAGAGACTAGGCTTCTCCAGTCCCAGAGCTGAATCAGCTGCCCAAGGATGTCTCTCTGCTCCCCTAGCTGTCTAGGTCAGAAACTTCTGGTTCCTGTGGGGAGTTTCTGGTTCTTTGTTCCCTCAAGCAGAAGCCATAGAAGATGCTCCTAATACAAAAGTTAGAAGGACACAGGAAGCAGTCCTCATCATAGTAAAAAAGTTTTTAGAAGTTAAGGGAGGAATTTAAAACAAAAGATAAGCCATTAGGTCTCCATGAAGTCACTTTGTTTTCCTTGATGAGGCTTTACCTCACATACTTTGGACATGTTGCCAAGAGGTGCTATTCCTTGGAGAAGGACATGATGCTGGGAAGGCTGGAGGATCAGCAGAGGAAAGGAAGACTCTTGACCAGGTGGATTGTGTGTCAGGAAGTGTTAAGGATGACGCAAGATAGGACAGGGTTCAAATCTTTTGCTCATAGAGTTGCTATGAGTCATGCTTGACTCAACTGGCACCTAACAACAAACAGTAACCATTTGGTAAATGTTTCATTTGTGCCATCAGGTCAGTTCTCTTTGATATATCCTCTTGTGTTTTACCTTTATGTGAATTCTCCTCATCATTTCATAGGTGCTTACTGTGTATCAGGCCCTATTATGAGTCCTCACAGCATGTCCATAGTTGCCTACACATCAGGCACCTTACTTAGCCACGTTTCTTGACCAGCTTCACAGTGTTCTTTTATTGTAATCTGTCTCAAATTGGGTTTTTTTTAATATATAAAATTAAATAGTCAAGTTAACTTTTTTCCTTATTATGAATTTATAGAGAAAATTTGGAAGATTAATGAAAGCATAAAGAAGTAAATGGTTCCGACGAGCTCTGGTGGCCTAATGGCAAGAAGCCGCACTGCAATCCCAGAAGTGCATGGTTCAAATCCACCAGATGCTCTGCTGGAGAAGGAGGGACAATCTCCTCCTGTACCAGTCAGATTCGATTTGACAGTACACACACACACACAAATAATAAAAATAAATAAGTTTGGTGTTTTGTTTTTTTTAAAAAAAAAAAAAGAAGTAAATGGTTCCACCATCCTGGAAATGAACTTGAATTTTTACTCCATTTAGTAAATATTCTATCACAAACATTTTCCTTGTCATTAAATGTTTTTCTACAGCATGTATTATTTATGATTGCATTTTGAATTTACCTTACTTAATTTTTCATCTGTTTTCTTAGACATTTGATTTTTTTTCCCAACTGGCCATTTTGAGTTTAGACAATTGCCTGTATTTTAAAACATTTTTAAGGAGATTCTTAAGAATTCGGTCAGAGGCTAAAATGTTATTCTTAATGAGTTTCTCTAAATTGTATTCAAAATTCTATGGTCCCCAATATACCCTTGTCGCCAGTCCTGCCCAGATTATATTTGTTTGGTGTTCCGTGTGAATGCCAGCTCATAGCAGTACTACGTACAATAGAGCAGACATTACATGATGGAAGTATGTAACATAGTCTCCCCATCCTTCCTTTGAGAAGCAGCCTGACTACGCTTCCCCAGGATAGATTAGCTTGCCCCTTTGGTAGTGCATGGCGTGTTCATTACTCCTCACCAGCACTGTGGTGCGAAGGCATCAGCGCGTCAGTCTTCCTTCCCCATTCAAGTGAAACATCCTTGCTCTTTAGCAAGAAGTCCCTGGCAGCAGGTTTGCAGTAAGTGATTTGATTTATTAGCTGCTGCTTCTATGGGTGTTGATTATGTTCCAAGTAAAATGAAGTTATTGACAACTTTAGTCTTTTTTCTACCTACCCTGATGCAGCCTGTTGGTCTAGAGGTGAGGATTTCTGTTTTCTTTATGGAATGAATGAACAAAATGACTGACTGAGTGAGTGAAATGCTGCCTTGACTTACACTGTGCCCATCTTTGAAATGCTTTGTTAACTTTCCACAGTATGCTTCGGAAGATGCAGAGCTTCTCTTAGTGGGAAATAAGTTGGACTGTGAAACTGACAGAGAGATCACCAGACAGCAAGGAGAAAAGGTGAGAGAACTCTGGGAAATGTAAGAAAGCAAACTTGCTTTTCATGATCTTCATTAGCAATATTCTTCTATTAAATTATTTTTTAAAGTTACTATTTGAAATCAAAAAAGGACAGAGAATAAATAATGTGTACCGTCTATACCTCTACTCAATAGAGCCATCACTTAGCTTTTACAGAGATGGTGGGTACCAGCATCTTAGTCACAGCCTTCTCACGTCTTACATTCACTTTGAACTGCAGAGAGAAAACCTTAGTGTGTACTGCTTTGTTATATGACCTCATGTTTTATGTAGGGAAAACATTTTTCTAAACTGTGAAAATAGCTTTCATGTTTTTTTCTTATTCTGATATATTTTGGCTTCCTTATGTTTTCCTAAAGATTAAATTAGGAATAATCAATCACATTCACATTTTAAATGTCTGATACATTACCATTTTGAATCTTTGGCAAGTAATTTGACTTGAGAAACCTATTTGAGTTTTTTATATGTGCTTTACTACCATATCTGAAGTGGCTGCCCTTTGTGAAATTGATACTTGTACCCAGGTGAGACTGTAGACCTGTCCTGTCATTTGAAGGTGAAGCCCAGCTCTCCAGTCTTCCTCATGGGTTAGGAGCCAGACTGCGTGCGCTTACACTAGACCATGCTGCATCCTTCCCATGAGGTTTTTTTTCCCTCCATAGTTTGCACAGCAGATAACTGGGATGCAGTTCTGTGAAGCAAGTGCCAAGGATAATTTCAATGTGGATGAAATATTTCTGAAACTTGTTGATGACATTCTGAAAAAGGTAAAAGAGAGGATCTCTAAGTTTTTAATATGAAACCTGTTATGGGTTTGTTGGGTTTTTTTTTCCATTGTTGTTAAGAAAGGAAAGTGTGGTACTTACTTAGAAGGTCAAGAACTAAATGTACATGCTTAGCATATATGCTTACCATCAACGTAACAGTAGGTGAGTGCCTTAAGTAGTGTGCAAATATATGCTATGTTCCTTTGGAATTTGCGCTGCTTTTTTCCTGTTTGACACAAAAATGGATTTAAAAATGGACAGCGGAGACTAGCAAAATAGTCTGTAAGTCTCTGAGCTGAGAAAAAAGTCCCCTAATACTTCACAACATTCTCTTTAAATTGAAGTCATACTGACCACATCAGAAGAGACTGACAGCAGCATGATATGGTCAGAAACAGAGCAATCCTAATTGCTTTAGACTTAGGACATCACATCAGGGGCTGGTCAATGGGAGACGGGTATTGAATGTTGTAAGCAAAAGTAGGAAGGGTTGGTGGTGCAGTAGGGAAAGGGTGGATTTAAAAAAAAACAACACCCCAAAACCAACCAAACATGTAGCCGGGTGGGCAGCAACATTGAATATTGGCCTTTCTGACTGGTAAATGTCTTTAATCTACTCATTTCTGTAGAATGCTTGTCTGTCAGATACTATTATATGTATTTAAAAATTGAGACAGACTAGGAAGAAGGATTGGCCATCCACTTCTGAAAAAAACAGGCCTTCAAAAACCCTATGTACAATAGAGCACACTTAGATTATCATTTGGACTAACATGGCAGTTGAAACTGAGGTCTTAAAAATGGAAACATGGAGGAAGAGAAACAGCTGTAAGGAGACACTAGTGATTGGAACTTGGAATGTGAGAAGCATGAATATAGGAAAATTGGACATTGTTAAGAAAGAAATGGAACGCATAAATATTGACATACTAGGAACAGTTGTAAGCAGACACTGGTGATTGGGACATGGAATGTGAGAACCATGAATGTAGGAAAATTGGATATTGTTAAGGAAGAAATGGAACGCATAAATATTGACATACTAGGCATTGGTGAGATGAGATGGACTGGAATGGGGCATTTTGAGTCGGATGAC